ATTATTTTGTCTTTCTTTTTTTCTTTTTTCTTTTTTTTTGTCTTTCTTTTTTCTTTCATTATTCTATTTTTCTTTCTTTTTTTTCTTTTGTAGGCCTATCTCTTTTTAAGGTTTATAGGATTTATTTCTGGTTTGTCGTGTCCTCTTCCATTCCCCTTCTTTATTTTTACATATCACCATTTCTCTCTTTTATTGTCATTCCCCGTTTCCCTTTCTTCCTCTGAATATTGCTGTATTTTGTTTGTTTGTTTGTTTGATCTGGCATTTCTATCTACATTTCATTTTCTTCTTTTTTTCTTCTTCTTCTTCTTCCTCTTCCTTCCTTTCATTTATTTTCTTATTATATCTTTCCTTATTTGTTTCCTTTTTTTCCTCTTTTTAACTTCTCCTTGTGTGTTGACCGTGTTTATATCTCTCTGTCTATCTGTCTATTTATTTATCTATCTATCTGTCTGTTTAATTGTTTATGTGTCTGTATGTTTGTCTATTTATTTAAATTTTTCTCTCATTCTCTCTCTCTCTCTCTCTCTCTCTCTCTCTCTCTCTCTCTCTCTCTCTCTCTCTCTCTCTCTCTCTCTCTCTCTCTCTCTCTCTCTATCTCTCTCTCATCTATTTATCATTCTCTCATCTATTGATCATTCTCTCCCTTTCTCTTTCTTGTTCTACCTTTCTCTCCCTCCTGTTTTACCACGAAATCTATTTTGCTGTAAACACACACACATTTCATGTGTGTGTGTTTCTCCTCTCTCTCTCTCTCTCTCACTCACTCTCTCTCTCTCTCTCTCTTTCTTTCTCTCTTCCTCTCCCTCTCTCTCTCTCTCTCTCTCTCTCTCTCTCTCTCTCTCTCTCTCTCTCTCTCTCTCTCTCTCTCTCTCTCTCTCCATCTCCCTCTCTCTCCCTCTCTGTCTCTCTCTCTCTCTCTCTCTCTCTCTCTCTCTCTCTCTCTCTCTCTCTCTCTCTCTCTCTCTCTCTCTCTCTCTCTCTCTCCCTCCCTCTCTCCCTCTTTTTTTTTTTTTTTTTAACCTTTATTTCAGGTATAAAATGAGAGTACATTTACAAAACTTTGCCAAAGCTTTAACTTATTACACGTTAAGCTATCTGTGGCAAGCACTCTAGAAGTGAACATTGAAATAGCAAAAATACTAAGAAGGAAAAGAACTAAAATCTAATATTAAAACAAATAAATATGTGATCAGTTAAAACTCTAAAAACCCTGTACATCTGCTATTGGTTGAGGAGCCAGATGTTGACGCGACTCTTGAACTGTTGTAGAGACGTTGCGTGATGGAGGTTGGTGTTCCTGACCATGTGGTTCCAGAGGCGCCCATATCTTGACAGAAATGAGCGCAGGTGGATCTCTGTCCTGGCAAAGGGCACACGCACTTTCTTGTCGCTCGCGTCCACCACTGGTGTCGTAGCTGGAGTCGTGTGGAGCGGGAAAGCGTAAGCTTGATAGATGTGGAGTCTGCACTACGTTAACCTTATACATTACACAAAGGTCGCCAACATTGCGCCGGTGTTGCAATGGTTGAAGTGTGGCATCCAGCGGTTGCCGAGTTTTGTAGCGGATGATTGCTTCAGCCCTCCTCTGAACCTGATCCAGTAGAAGAAGATATGAAGGCGGACAGGCAGACCACACGAGCGGACTGTACTTCATAAGACTGCGAACTTGCGACTTATAGAGTGCTGCTACACCGGGCCCGTCCAGGAGATGGCTGATGCGACGGATGCATCCAAGCTTCCATGCAGCTGTCTTGGCCACTTGCTGGACGTGTCGCGTGTATGTTAAGCCGCTATCGAACTCTACTCCGAGGATTTTGATGGAGTCCTGCTGAGACAATCCTTTGCCGTCGAGGAGGATGTTTGGAGCGGGCAAGGAGGCCAGGTCCCTCCGACGGGAGATGAGCATCGTCTGTGTCTTCTCCGGGCCAGCGTCACCTGCCATCTCCGGCTCCACGCCACAAGGCTCTGAAGCGTCTGATTGATGCGCGCTATTGTTCGCTGATGGTCGTTTCGCTTACACGTGAATGACATCGTGCAGTCGTCAGCATACGCGGACGCCTCCGGTATGAGTTGCAGGATGTCATTAAAGAAGACGTTCCAAAGCAGAGGTCCAAGGACGCTACCTTGGGGCACGGAGGCACTAATGGGGCACTCGGTGGAGGAGTGGCCGTTCACCACCACGGAAAGTGATCTTCCATGGAGATAGTTTTGGAGAAGGTCCAAGAGGTCCCCACTGATGCCGAAGCTCCTTAGCTTGCTGATGATGCCACGGTGCCACACCCTGTCGAACGCACCAGCGATGTCTAATGCAATAACATAAGTGTCTTGGCCATCATCTAGGGCTTGACTCCATGACGATGACTGGACGAGAAGTAGGTCAGAGGCTGATGTCTCTGCCCGAAAGCCAAACTGTTTCTCGTTCAATAATCGGTGGCCGTCGAAGTGCCTAGTGAGTTTTTCGGCAATTATAGTTTCCAATATCTTGCTAACAACAGATAGCAGAGACATGGGCCTATAATTGTTAGGATCCGTCGCTGCAGATTCTTTGTGTATCGCCGCTACTCTAGCAGATTTCCACAGACAAGGCTATTGCTTCTTTTGCAAGCAGTTGTTGAAAAGCCTACACAGAGGCTCTGCTAATTGATCAGCACAACCTTTGAGCAGACGGGGACTTATCTGGTCACCACCCATAGCTTTATTCACGTCTAAATGACGAAGGATTTTCTTGACTTCGTCAACTTTAATGCTGATGGTCTTTAGTGTGGCTTTAGTGTAGAGAGGAACGGATGGGGGAGTTAGGTCGAGGTCAGGGACACTCATTTTGCTTGCAAAGTGAGTGGCAAGTACCTGGGCCTTTTCTTCACTCGTGATTGCAGTGGTTTTATCAGGCTTTGTTAATGGTGGTATGGTGTCAGCCTGAAGCAGGCCTTGTTGTTGCTTTATGCAAGTCCACCAGACTTTGTCGCAAGCAATGCGACCAGACAGTTTTTGCTGTAGGTCATTTTTCCATTGCTCTATCGCTTTCTTTTGCACGTGATGCATGTTCTTGCAGGCCATCTTGTGCAGTTGTTTGTTGTGGTTGGTTGGATGCTGCTTATAGCGACGCCAGGCTCTACTTTTCGGATCAGCAGCAGTGCGACACTGACAACCAAACCATGGCTGATCTTCTGCTTTGCATTTGTATCTCTGACTAGGTATAAATTGTCTCTGTAGTGTTAATAAGACGTCATTGATATTGGATACCTGGTCATTGATATCGCCACTCAGTATTTCATCCCAGTTCACCCGCCTTAGCTTGTGGTGCATACTGGCCCATTTGCCTTTATTCCAGAGCCAGTTTGTTCTAATTGTGTTTTCCTCTCGACCCACTTTTGCTATCACCTGTGTGTGAACAGCGAAGTGGTCTGAGGATCCAACAGTCCCCAGTTGGCTACACGTAATTATGTCGGGGCTGAGGTCACTGATAACAGGGTCAAGTGAGGAACCTGAAATGCGGGTGGCAAAATCCACATGATTCGTTAACCCATGCACTGTCAGCAACTCATCAAATGCCCTGGCGACAAGATATTGGTTTAGGTCGCCGACAGTGATTGCATGGCTGCATTCATGTTTTTGTAGGAGAGCATCAAGGTGTGTCTGCAGATAGGTAAGGGGCTCTCGACCTTGCCACTGGGGCCTGTAGCACACACACACCAGAATGGGTGATTCTCCGTGAATCTTAAGGAACATCATTTCCAGATGATCGGGGATGTCCACAGAAATCACCTGAACCGCGAGGCTCTCACGAAAGCAGACAGCGATGCCACCAAAAGTGCCAACCGCCCTGTCGCGACGGTGCCAGCGAGTGTAGCTGTTCACTTTCCCATAGGTGGCAGGGACATCATGCTTGAGGAATGTCTCAACGGTAGCAATGATGTCAGGGCTGTGTGGGATTATAAATCTATATGTTAAATCCCCAATGTTCGTCTGAAAACCCCTGACATTGGCTGATATGATGGATAGGCTACCTGGCATACTGCTGTACATAGGGCCAGGTGTATGGCCGTGTATTAGTTGCCAGCGATGGCCTGTTCGTTGTGTGTGATACACCCGTTGACTGCTGAGGCGTTAGATATTTGTTTAATGACTGAATTAACAGTGCATTACTATTAGCCTGGTTGGTAGCGAGCTTAGTAAATAAGACCTCTTGCCTCTCATGCTCTTTCCGAGTGCGGCAGTCTTGCTCCTGGTGACCTCTTCGTTGACAGTAAGAACAGGTCAAGTTTCTAAAACAATTTAAGTCACTGTGACCTGTTCGTTTGCACAGTTGGCAGCGCTCCTTTGCTCTCTGCCCAGAGACTGACCTGGCATGTACCTGCCCTATATTATATCTGTTCCCACTGAGTTGCTGGCGCCGCTCTCTTGTGTGGGGCTCAGATGAGGAAGGCGACACTGACCCCCGGTGGGCGGGGGGGGGGCCTTTGCGGCGCCTGAACACGCCCCTGGCTGTTGTTAGTGGTGGTGGTGCGGGTGTCGTTGTTGCTGATGGTATTTCTGTTGCTTATGTTGTTGGAAACATTAGTTTTCTTTCTATCAGGAATGACAGTGACTCCCTGTAGAGGTTTAGGCTTTTTGGAAGACCACCATTCGCGAGCTTTTTTATGTCGAGAGAGGTGTCCATGCCACTCCTCGTCTATTTTTGTGGGTCTAGCACTGGCGGCAATAGACCGCACTTCTAGTGCACCTAAACTGGATTTGATTGATGCCGTGTTGTCAATCAAATCCAGAATAGAGACAACAGCATCTCTTTTCTCAGCCAGATTTTGGGCAGCAGATTCAAAGAAATTCAGCACGAACTTTTTACGACTCAACTCGGCTCGTAATTCTTTTATAATCTTTATTAATTGCTGGGGTTCGAGACTCAGTAAGTCGCTGTCACTGTCATTCTCAGTGACTTCTGGTGCCTCATTAGTGACAGCTGTTATTGCAGGCTCCGCCTCGTCGTCAACGAATATCACATCGTCACTGAGGCCAACGAGTGTTCGCAGTAAGCCGACTTCCGTGCAATTGAAAGTGCTGCTGTCGGCATTGCAAGCAGTATGACACACGTTAGGACAGTCTGGAGCTGTGCAATGGTGCGTCTCTTTATGCACTGCCGTTTTACCGCAGACAGCGCACCATACACTGGGCGTATACCCCGACAGTCTTTTGGGCCGTGCAATCAACTTGTGATCATTTTGCGAGTGAATGGTGGGCATCATAGAGCGACTGGAGCGAAGGGGTTGGTGGAAGGGGGAGGGGGTGACAGCGGAAATGAAAAACTTACAAAGTGATCTGAAGATTAAAAGCTTAAAAGATGTTTTAAAGTAAAAATATAGAGGTTTTGACGCTAAAAAATGATTAACATACAATTAAAAAAAATATATCATAAGGGTAGACACTTAAAAAATAGAAAATTAAGATACTTAAAAGGTCGAAAGATTACGAGACTTTAAAAGACAGATAAAATCAAGTGACCAAGTTACTAAACAAATAAAAAAGATAAAAAGTACCTAAATGTCTGAAGATAATTTTAAAAGTAAAAAGTAAAAGTAAAAAAGATCAGTTTGTAAGCTTCTTACAAAAACAACAAAGATAAAAGTAAAGATAAAAGTAAAGGAGCAGCAAAAATCTGTCAACAACCACTGACAGTCACGACACGCACGAAGCACCAATTAAACTGCTGACAACAAGCATCTGTTTCCCTGCCTACGTCTCACGCACTCACAGGACTCGGGGTTTTCACCATAACTTGCCAAGGACCCCCGAGTTGGCGCGAGACACCCCGAATGGGGGACCTAACCCTAGCAGTTGGTTGGTAGAAAACCGAAAGTTCCTCTCCACCTCAAGATAATTGCAAGTATGTCCACGTGCAAAGCCTCGATCGGTTTGTGGACAGTGACTTTGCAACACTCTAGTGAAGAGCACGGAAAATCAAGAAAAGAGGGTTTTCATTCATTAATGAAAACGCAGTCTCATCACCAATAGTTAGCCCAGCAGTCTCAGTAGTCAGACTAGGTGAGGTCAGTGGGGGCACAACTATTCATGACGAGCGACAGTTGGGTGCTTCGGTCGTTTGAGAGAGGGAGAGTGTGGGTGTAAACAAAGCAACTCGATCACACCGGCTAGCGTGAAAATGTTAAAAAATATAAGTTAAAGCTTATAGGAAGCTTCTCTCAGTAAAACACTAGCAGTTACTTATACCTGGTGTATTCACAAAAGCGGATATCTACCAGTACAGACAAAGGCAATTCAAAAACTGTGTAAAAACGTTGAAAAACGTCAGAGTAACCTCCAGACGTTGACGTTCAACACAGCACTCTCTCTCTCTCTCTCTCTCTCTCTCTCTCTCTCTCTCTCTCTCTCTCTCTCTCTCTCTCTCTCTCTCTCTCTCTCTCTCTCTCTCTCCTCCCTCCCTCCCTCCCTCTCCCTCTCCCTCTCTCTCTCTCCCCACGCATCCTTCCGTGGGTTTCTTCGCCGGCGTCCCTCCTTCCCCTGCCCAGCCTCCGCGGCGCCGCGTGGGCAGATCCCGGTCTCGGGGAAACGAGCAGTTCTCTGGCGCTCGTTCGGCCGTTCGTCGCGTCGCGAGGCTTCCTCTCGACGCGGTGTAGTGAACGCGCCTTTCGTCGGCCCACGTGACCTCCCTCTGCCCAGGTCACACCCTTTCATGTGTTCGGACGCAGATATCACGTAACTTGGAAACACCATGACCTCGCTGTCGACAGTTCGGACGACGTCCCCGAACCGCTGCAGTAGCGGTCGGGTTGTGCAAACCACTTGTTACCTCAGGCGGCATAGGCTCACAAAAGGCCTATGTTCCCGCCGCCAGGTCACCGAGGTAACACCGAAGAGCTGGTGGACCGGTGAAGGGAGACGCTGCCTTGCTGTTGTGGTTGACAGAGGTCGATGGGGACACCGCTTCGTATTCCAATGGAACTTTATCAGGTCATGTATCCCTGTGCTATGTCGCGATACCGTGTGCTCTGATTATAAGCGAGCGCTAGCAGAAACAGTGTGCAGAAACTTAAGTGACTAAATAACTAAAACATTCCGTGAGTTAGTGTTCTTTCGTGCAAGTTAATTTAATGTTCATTCGTGTTCGTATGCGTTTTATTTTTTTGTGTATATATTATTCGTTCGTGTGTTTTCGCCAGTGTTTAGATTGTGTTTGTTTTAGTATCATTTGTAAGTCCGTAATTTTGTTGCATGTCTGTATTTGTCTGTAACGTTTTGAATAATACACGTATATACTTAGAGGTAATAAATCTATTCTTCTCCTTGCAACGTAATATTGTTATTCAAATATCAACAAGAGAAACCTCGATAAAATTCTCTTACAACTAAATCTGAGAACAAATAAACAAGGAATTAAGATAATTAAACACTGAATAAGCCTCCAAGCTTGGTCAAAATCACCAGTCAATTAATAATTCTAAGGGTCGGGACCCCTAGTCCCGTGGTGGCGGCTACCGAAGAATTTTTTTTTGTTTGCTCCCGAAATGTATTGTCAGAAGTGCTACTGTAGTGAACGCGCCTTTCGTCGGCCCACGTGACCTCCCTCTGCCCAGGTCACCCCTTTCATGTGTTCGGACGCAGATATCACGTAACTTGGAAACACCATGACCTCGCTGTCGACAGTTCGGACGACGTCCCCGAACCGCTGCAGTAGCGGTCGGGCTGTGCAAACCACTTGTTACCTCAGGCGGCATAGGCTCACAAAAGGCCTATGTTCCCGCCGCCAGGTCACCGAGGTAACACCGAAGAGCTGGTGGACCGGTGAAGAGAGACGCTGCCTTGCTGTTGTGGTTGACAGAGGTCGATGGGGACACCGCTTTGTGATCCAGTGGAGACTTTATCAGGTCATGTATCCCTGTGCTATGTCGCGATACCGTGTGCGCTGATTATAAGCGAGCGCTAGCAGAAACAGTGTGCAGAAACTTAAGTGACTAAATAACTAAAACATTCCGTGAGTTAGTGTTCTTTCGTGCAAGTTAACTTAATGTTCATTCGTGTTCGTATGCGTTTTATTTTTTTTGTGTGTATATATTATTCGTCCGTGTGTTTTCGCCAGTGTTTAGCTTGTGTTTGTGTTAGTATCATTTGTAAGTCCGTAATTCTGTTGTATGTCTGTATTTGTCTGTAACGTTTTGAATAATACACGTATATACTTAGAGATAATAAATCTATTCTTCTCCTTGCAACATAACATTGTTATTCAAATATCAACAAGAGAAACCTCGATAAAATTCTCTTACAACTAAATCTGAGAACAAATAAACAAGGAATTAAGATAATTAAACACTGAATAAGCCTCCAAGCTTGGTCAAAATCACCAGTGAATTAATAATAACTCTAAGGGTCGGGACCCCTAGTCCCGTGGTGGCGGCTACCGAAGATTTTTTTGTTTGTTTGCTCCCGAAATGTATTGTCAGAAGTGCTACACTACAGCGGAGCGGGCCAGGGGGACGGTGGGGGGGGGGGGGGAGGGACAAGGAAAGCTGTGGGAGAGAGAGAGAGAGAGGGGGGGGGGAGGAATAGAGAGAGATAGAGAGAGAGGGAAAGGGAGAAGAAGAGGGAGAGAGAGAGGTGGGGGAGGGAGAGAGAGAGGTGGGAGAGAGAGAGAGAGAGAGGTGGGAGAGAGAGAGAGAGAGAAAGAGAGAGAGAGAGGGAGAAGAAGAGGGAGAGAGAGAGGTGGGGGAGGGAGAGGGAGAGAAAGAAAGAGAGAGAGAGGGAGAGGGAGAGAGAGAGAGAGAGAGGGAGGGAGAGAGAGAGAGAGAGAGAGAGAGAGAAGAGAGAGAGAAGAGGGTGAGGGAGAGGGAGAGAGAGAGACAGAGAGAGAGAGAGAGAAATAGAGAGAGGAAGAAGAAGAGGGAGAGAGAGAGAGAGAAAGGGAGAAGAAGAGGGAGAGGGAGAGAGAGAGGGGGGGGGGAGAGAGAGAGAGAGAGAGAGAGAGAGAGACAGACAGACAGACAGAGAGAGGGTGGAGGAGAGAGAGAGAGAGAGAGAGA